AATGTTTGGCGAGAAGCATGCGGAACAACGGGTAAAACCTGTCTAAAATCACCACCCTAGACGACAATTTTTCCTAGAAAAGGGATATCATTACCCATTCTCTAAGAAGTCGGTCGATGCATGCCAGAGCATGCGTGATAACCATGGGAGCTTCACACCAAAAAATGATCGTTGTTTTCGGAATAGTCTCAGCCTCTCTTGAGCTAACCGTCAGACTCGACACAGAATTCTCATTCAGAAAGGAATTTTGAATTTGCTATGAACCGGCCGACCGTTAGGTAGCAACGATGCGGCGATACCTGTCCAAGCAACGGAGATGACGTCTAAGTTTTCCTTTGTACAATACGCAGTAAGACATTCTGAAACGAAAGTTTTTCCCGATCCTCCTGGACCATCAATGAAAATCGCATTACACGTGTAAGATGGATTTTGGATGAGACTAATTATTTCAGAAATAATTTGATGTTGCTCTGGGTTAGCGGCAGAAATCATGGAATCATAGTTTTAGGGGGAGGAGAGTCAGGATCCGACCCTTGAAGATTCAGGTTAATTGGAAGCAATTCCGGAAGATCAAATGATGATATTGAAAATCATTGAAGTCTTAATGTGCTTTCAATAGCAAAAAGCCGATCAACGTAGTCGACCGACCAACAAAATAAAGAGAGAGGAAGAAACAAAGTATCAAGCAAATTTGAAACAAAGTTGGAAAGAGAAAAGAACAAATAAGAATGAAATGTCCATAACAATACATGTTGTTAGCAATACGTGTGCGCACCGCTGCAGTTAATAAGTCAGGGTCAGTCAAACCGCCAGGATGCCTATCAAGAAGTGGTGAAGCGGAGTAGCCGAGAGGTTGCGACGGAATGTGGGTGGTGAGTGACGAACGACAATGCGACCCAAACCTTCTTTGAGGTTGGTGGGAGGAAAGCTATACGAAAGAAAACGGAGATAGCCGAGAGAACGTGGTGGGAGGGGTGGCTGAGACCCTAGAGGGGGTATCTAGGGACGGGAAAGCAGGTAGCGGCTAGATGACCGCTCGAAACAGCTGAACTTTACTCGTCGATAAAAGTAAGAAAATTTGAGAAAATCAAAAAAACAATTACAGCCTGCAAATCTACAGATCAGAAGCTTTCATTTAAAAAAAACCCCATGCAAATCGGTCCGGTGGTTCTCTCAGAGTTAATGTCCCAAAATGCGGACTTTAGTCTGAATAAATGGGAGAAAATTTGAGCCCAGCTAAACTTCACTCGTCGATAAAAGTAAGACAATTTGAGAAAATCGAAAAAACGATCACAGTCTGCAAATCTACAGATCACAGGCTTTCATTTAAAACAAAAATCATGCAAATCGGTCCGGTGGTTCTCTCACAGTTAACGTCCAAAGATTCGGACCTCCGTTTTAATGCATCGAAGAAAATTTGAGAAAATTATGGGAGAAAATTTGAGAAAATCGAAAAAACGACCACAGCCTGCAAATCTACAGCTTAGGGGCTTTCATTTAAAAAAAAGATCATGCAAATCGGTCCGGTGGTTCTCTTAAAGTTAATGCCCCAAGATTCGGAACTTTGCATTTTAATATATAGGATGTTTAGTAGAAGAATTTGGGTTGCATTTGGTCACAAGAAGGCAATGTTTAAGGTGGTTCTATATTAAAAGTCCTGCAAAATGAAATATTTAAAACTTAAAATGACCTTGATGGCCACAGGAGAGTTACAAATTCCTGGCTATAGAATTGGATGAAGCTTTAGGTGGATTTTGCGTTTGCCTCCTGTTTTGAGGCACTCACACCCTCTTGTATTGGTCCCTATCTAAAATACGTTACCAGTTCTACACTATTGCATACAGGTCTTTTTTTAAAAATTTTAAGGTGATATGCATGACTTGCATAACGCTATCCAAATCTTCTCTCATTTTTTTTTCAATGATCCAAACGCGAAAAATACGCTTTTATAACACTAGAGAAAACTAACTGGCAAAAATTTCAACATATTCCTTAATTGATATATTTTAACCAACGTGTCACAATTGATTGCAATTTCAGCATGACAGATCATGCTGCTTTCAACATGACATGATGCTTTTCAATGTCTTCATAGTGTAAGGACGGTGATACTACCAAACCACGTATGTCGGTTCACGACGTCGCAGACTTCCTGTCATATTCTTCATTCTTTTAAATGAAAAACTATTCAACATCAATTTTTAAAAACTTCCGTGAGTTTTGTGCTCTAAGCGAAGAAAAGTCCGTGGGACCTTCAAAGAATGATATTGACTTGTTCTTCAAAAAAATAAAATGGGAGCGGACATTATCAAACACCGCAATTGAGGTACGTGGTCTGGTAGTCTCACCGTCGATAACGATAGAAAAAAGTCTGAATGCTTGTGTACAACGGGGCTGATGAAATTAATCGGTAGTTTTCTCTCAGTGATCTAATAACCGGTATTATTGAGGTGCTGATGAACAAACTACATTTATCAAACGTTTGTAAATTTTTATTACGATGTGCACACACGTTTTTACAAATTTTGAACTTTTTTTGTTGCTTTTAATCAATTTTTTATTAGACTTGAAAGTTGATTGAAAAATTTGAACCGAAACATTTTTTCACATATTTTCGGATACATTTAATCTTAGGGCGCTCAACATGCTATTGCCACACTAAATCTGCTCACATAGAGATCGCCTTCACTTAAATCTGAGATCATGTCGCCGCAAAAGTGTAGACCAGTAATGCATAAACTCTTCGAACGATGCTTACGCTAAATTAGAAGACTTTTAACGCGGACTTAACATCCTTTTACGTTCGGAGGCACATGTCTCTATATAATGCAATTCACTCGGAATCAGACTAAGTTGTTTGGCTTTATCGTTAAGCGCAGCGATGACGTCACAAAATTCATCGAATTTTGAGTTCGGATATTCTCTGAACTTCACATTATTGGGCAACATTGTTACTCATTGAATTAATTTTTAATACAATATCTACTCAAAAAAATATTAAAATACAGGTATCAACAATGATAATAACTTCAGTGGTAGGTTTTCTTTCAGTAAATGTGCAAATTGACTAATAACAACTGTCCATTAATGTGAACTTCGAAGAATTTCCGAACCCTGAGCTTGGATTGAATTAGGTCAACAAGATAAATAGTCGATATTAAATGCTTTTGAATATCGTCCAATGCTCATTATCGGTTATTTTGTCCAGGAAATGTATCATACTGATCTTCAATTCTAACATTTGAAATCAACATCAAGACGAACAGCCTTTAAAATGTGAACTTCGGTTAAGATGTCCCCCTTTTTAAGTGTCTAGGAAAGTTAGAGACATTTTCGAAACAACACCACAATAGTTAATCTCGCAAATGATAGCAGATCTCAAATCAATGATAAATGTTAAATCTCTGAAGATTTTAATTTTTCCAGAGAAGCTCTTCAAATCATCGAAGACAAGTCTTCATTTAAATTTAGAATTTTTTGCGTGTGATATACTTCATACAATTTTTTTTTTTTTTTGTTGTATTGAATTAACTTCCGTTGAAACACAGAGCATCATTTTATTTTATAACCGGATTTGAATGAAACATCGGAAAAAATGCTGAAACATTCTTCGCTTTCACGGAAAGCCATGGAGTGTTGACTGTTGTGACTTCATGAAAAACTAAGTTTCTCATAACAATGTTCAAGGTTGATTGAATCCTCGATAATGTCAGTCACAGTAAATACAAAAGATCGGGATTGAATACATAGAGTGACTAATTGGCAATGTATGCGAAGCCTTGGCGTGCTGCACAGGATTTAAACTAAAATTCTAAGCGCAAATGACGTCATATGGACGTTTTTAAATTGTCACTGGGGCAGTAGGTCAGTATGTCAATATGCACTTCTGCTCAGAATTCTTTTATGGGGCCTTGACAAACACTGAAAGTGTGTCCAGTATTTTCATTCCTATTTTTGTCCAAAAACATTAAGGTAGATTACGGAGTAAAATTTGTCTCTAGAGGTGTGGTGTTTTTATTGAGTGAGTATGATAGGCTATTTAATGTAGGTGTCCATTATGGCAGGAAGAGATAATTTTAATAAACCAAAATTTTGAGTTAAATACACAGACAGATTTATATTCGTACCTCACTATACCATTATTCATATTTATGTCTTGAAAAAGGTTAATTATGTACTTCTGACAGATTTTTTCAGTTTCAGGAGAATGAAAGTAAACGTAATTTAGAAATCCATACGAGATGCAAAGAGACAAGGTTGAAACTGATGATGAGGCTAAATTTGAGTAAAAGAGGGTGCAGTAACCCTTGACGTAATGTCAATTTTACACCTGGAGAGTTTTCGGGTCAAAAAGTAGACGAACGGTGTGTTAATTTAAGCACGGATTGAAACTAATGCATATTTTCAACTTTAACCATCGGCTGTCGTCCCATTTCAGCACAAAAAGTCCCAAGCTATAAAATTCACGTTACTACTAGCGATGCTCCACACTGACAAAAATAATACGCTGATACTGCAGTTTGGTTGTCAAAATTGTGTCTGAAAACACCTAAACACTGACGAGGCTACACTCACGGTCAATTTTACATCGTTAAAATGTAAAACTGATCGTGAGGGTAGCTAAATCAGCATTTTTTCAGCTGACACAACTTGCGCTATTAATACTTAAAAATATTAAAAAAAAATCACGCTTATACTAAATGATCAATTAAAGCGTGAGTTTTTTTTTAAATATTTTAAAATATTAATACAACAGCTTTTACATCGAAAAAAATGGTATGCTGTTTTGGCACCTAGGATGTCAAAAATGTGTCTGGTCATCCTAAGATGCTACCTTGATTGCCCACGCAGTTGAATTTGCATTCGTAGGATGTAAAGTTAACTGCGAGGGCAGTAAAGGCAGCATTTTGGGATCACCAGACACATTTTTGACATCCTAGGTGCTAAAACAGCATACTATTTTTTTCAGTGATACTGCTTTTTTAAAAATTTGATCGTTATTTTAGAACTGCAACTTGTTCTGTGTCAGCATACTATTTTTTTCGGTGGTCTTCCTCAATTCACCAAAATTCGTCTCTCATGGAGTAAAATCCTCATCCATCTGATGAAACCTCGGTAACGTTTTGTTGTCATCGGTCCCCCGAACCGATTGGTCGATCAGTTGCCACTCTATGTATTCCGCGCCGTTGGGTGTGTTTATAAGAGGATGTCTTTGTATTTCCGGCTGTAGTAGTCCTTGGTGTGCTCTGCGTGGTACCGTACAACGGAGGTGATTTTATTTAGGAGCTGTTCGTCGTGCTTGAAGCCTTCCTCGGCGTTCGAGGTCGGGAAGCCTCTGGTGTTGGTCCTCAGCATCCGCTCACCCCAAGTTTGTGGCACGGGGATGTCCGGCTGCAGACCGCGCTTCTTCTTGTCCAGGTACTCGATGACGTCATCGTAGTAGTTGTTCCTGTAGTCCATCAGGTACTTGTACGACAGGAATGTGGGTCGCACCCAGTGCCTGAAGACCAGTTTCCTGTTGGGGTCCCTGGCCTGTAACCAAGAGATGAAAAGTTGCAGTGGGGGATTTTCCAACAGTACCGCGCTCTGAGGAATGGATCGCATTTAGCGAAAAGGAACCAGCGTGACTACAGTGTTAAAAAAGACCTCTTGGTTCAAGAGTGCAGTTTATTGTCGCCAGATTTAAGAGTCTGGACTCTTGTTTCGATGCAAAATCCACTTGAATCAATGCAAAATCCGCTTGAAACAAGAGTTCCAGACTCTTAAATCCGGCGACAAGAAACTGCACTCTTAAGTCAATGCACCGCGGCATTGGTCCAAGAGGTTTTTTTTACCAGTGTACAGTGCTGAAACAATGTTCCATCTTCATGATTTTCTAAAAAATCTCCCAGAGTAGCAAATAGTTTTGGCTTCCCGCCAAAGCACAGTTAATTTTGAGGGAAAATATTTGTGTGAATTTTAATCCTGTACATATGTTGAGTATTTTTTTAAAAAAAAAGAAGAAGTTGCACGATTTGAAAAACACTGTAATCACGCTGGTTCCTTTTTGCGAAACGCGATCCAAATAATCTACTAAATATTTGTAATAGGTCAGTTGTGCTGGTCACAAAATTGTGTTTTGACGCTTGATTCTTGTAGATCGGCTGAAAATAATAAGATCTAGCCAAACGGTAACCATCTACGTCTAATATGAGCTGAGATATCGCCCTTTGAAAAGTCGAGTTTTTGACGTCATCCACCACGGTAATGACACCCTCGGTTTCTTCTACCTTGCTTTCATGCTGGTTTCACGTTACGTAACCAGTGCAAATGTGCGTCACACCGACTGATGAAAGCAAGGTGGAAGAAACCAAGGGTGTCACTACTGCGGTAGGTGACGTCGAAAACCTGACTTTTCAAAGGGCGATATCTCGGTTAATATTCAACGCAGAAAGTTGCTGTTTGGACAGATTTAATTTTTTTTTTAGCTAGTCTACAAAAATTGAACATCAAAATACGATTATGTGGCCAGCGCAACTGACCCATTCTCGGACGAAAGAGCGCAACTCCATTCAAAGGTTGCCAAATGTACTCAAACACTTCGATTTGTTATAAAAATGTACCTGTGCAATTTTTTGTCCAAAATTGTTCTTATTTTTGCATGAGGATCAAATAGAATATCTGTGAAATTTTCAGTCAGAAATGTCCAAAATTCTAAAGATAAAATTGCATTTTGCGAGAGGAAATGTGACAAAATTGAAATGAAGTTACGTTCTTTCGTGGGAGAAACGCTTAATAGAGGGACTTGGAAGACAAGGCGCTGGAAAGAACTTTTTGGAAAAATTGAGGTAAAAATTATTTTCACTGAATCTAGTCTTGAAATATATTGCGTGAGAAATTCACTATGAAACTCATACTGTCTAGCATCAAAAAGTGACTTCAAATTTTCTCTCCCCATAAGGGTGCATGTAATTTGGAAATGTTAAAAACGTATTTCTTGAACTAGCCGAAACTGTACTTATGCGCCTCCCTTCAATCCCTTAAATTTTTACGAAGTCAACCGAAAACTGTTTTGCAGTGACAATGTCTGGAATGATAGACATACCGTTTGAAAATAGGAGATTTCCAGTTTACCCAAGAAGAATTATCAATACGAATTTCTGTTGATCTAACAAAAATATTTCGTCCGTGCATTGAGGAAGGCGAAGCAGGGTCATGGTACCCTAAGATGAAAGTTTCAGTGCAGAAAAAAAAGAAAACCGGTTCGGAGTCAGAACATCGATTTTTAGTTCTCAATGCTAAAAGCACCTTCTATTACTCTTGAACATTGGGTCAATGTTTCAACGCACCGCCTGCTTGCATTATACATGATGTAAAAAGCATTTGAAATTAATTGTTCTGCCGAATATAAATCGCCGTCTTCCTTACGAGAGAACTCACGAGAGTAACTAAATTCCAATGTTGCCAAATTTCTCCTCACTAATTGCATTTTTACCAGGAGAATCTTGCGCAATGGACCACTAGACAAGGTACGAATTTAAGCGATCTGATACATGTTTCTTAACCAGAATTTCACGTAGAAAACGATTCACACAACGAAAATTACGGAAACCAACTCCTAACGAAGATATTAACGTTTTTATTTCACATTGGTTACGAGGAATTTGAACTGCCCGCTCACAAGAAACTCAAAACTCTACGTGAGTCAAATCGCCCACTACAACGGTTTCAGCAAGCTTCTCAATCGAGCAATGTTCATTTCCCATCATGTGTTGTTCAAACTATTAGCAATTTGCTACAACTGAGCCAAAGCGTCAAGATTGAGGTTGCCAGATTTTTATATTGCAGAGACTGTCATGATAACGTTTAGCGCGCGATGTGAATCACGTAGAGCATTGAGTTTTCATGAGCGGGTGGTCTGAATTCACGCATTAAGAATCATTAAATATCTTCGTAAGGAGTTAATTTCGGTAATTTTCGTTGTGTGCATCGTGTTTTACGTAAAATTTTGGTGAAGAAACATGTATTAGAATGCTGAAATTCGTACCTTATCTAGTGGTCCATTCCACTTGACAAATTCAGTGATACTTCACCTGATGTTATGCAAAAATCAGAGAAAATTTGGAAAAATATTGCTCACGCACATTCTTGTCATCAAATGTATTGTTTGAGTCAATTCGGCAACCTTGGAATGAAGTTACGTCTCTTTGTGTAAGAAACGACGAAATACGTCAAATTCTGACCGCGGCTCCCCGCGCAACTATCCGCAAACTTTCATTCATAGAGTTTTGACGATATCAAAATTAATTTTGAGCTTACGTGACGCACTTTTCCCAATTTTTCGACCCTCTCTTTCCCCCTTGTAACGCACCCGTAACGCAGCCCTACACCCATCCCCCTTTTGAATGGAGATGTTGCATATGTGAGGAATTTGCGATTTGACCATGGATATTTATGTGAAAGTTCGCGAGAAACACGATGGTGCCACTGGTTTTCTCTGAAATCATCTCCCAAGCTCAAAAAAAGCTCTCAAGTTGAGGCCAAGATGGAGGGGATATCCCACGCTATCCTGAGAGTCCACCTCTACATCGAGACAAACTCTCCATGCAAAGGTACGGAGTAAATACATTAGCAGGGATGCCGTGTTTTCGGTTTCGGAGTCCCCAAATAAAGTGGCAGCCCTGTCAATGTATTTGCTCCCTATCTTTGCATTAAGAGTTTGTCTTGATGTAGAGGTAGACTCTCAGGTTAGCGTGGGATACCCCCTCCGTTTTGGCCTCAACTTGAGAGCTTTTTTGAGCTTGGGAGTTGATTTCAGAGAAAACCAGTGGGACCATCGTGTTTCTCGCGAACTTTTACATAAGAATCAATGGTCAAATCGCAAATTCCTCACACATGTAACATCTCCATTACATAACGCTGGCCTGAGCGCCTCTTCCCCGCTATTTCATTCGGGAAGGGCAGGTTTTCTATTTTTTGCATGTTTTTTTCATAGTTTTTTCCCCTGGGAAGGATTTGTAATGTAACGCTGGGTTTGACCCCCTCTTCCCTCCTGTAACACGCTGTAACGCTAGCTCAAACCCCTGCTCTCATGAAAAATTTTATCACCATTTTTTCCTAACCTGCATCTCTCCATCATCCGACACATCTGTTTCTATGGCTCCATTCACAAACAGCTTGCACGCCTGCACCCAAAAATCCGATGACAACTCAACCAATATTTGCCTACTTTTGGACTTATTTGTCTACTGGACATTACTGATATTTGGCCTTTCTAGATTTTTTGGCATTCATGGTTTGGACATTTTTTTGTGGACATTTTGACCTATCACCCCTCCCCCCCTAAGTATGTTACGTAATACTTAAACGGCCCCTAAGGTCCTTCCTCTTATGGACGATTACATCCATATATGAACGTAAGCAAGACGTGGACGATGGACTCACCCTTGGCGGAGGAGGGAGCTCTTCTGTTTGGGCAGCCGCGGCTTCTGGTGCGGCCTCTGGAGCGGCCGCCGCTGCTGGGGCGGCTTCCGCGGGTGCAGCCTCTGGTTCAGGCTCGGGGTCTGCTGATAGCCAGTCGTCAGCTGCATCGGGGTCCGACATTATGCCTGCCAAACCCAACAAAAACTCACTTTAGCCAAAGTAAATATACACTCCCGACCACCTCTATGATTTTTTTGTCGCTAGGACAAGTGTAGCGATGGACCACTCTACCGTGCTAAGGAAGAGCGCCATATGAACATTCGAGCGTTGCCAAATTTCCTTCGATAAAATGTTTATTTTGTAGGAAAGTTATGAAAATTTTGCTTCGAAAGGTTTAGGAGCTTTAGGTGACATTGCGAACAAAATTATCTGGAAAATTGGAAGAAAAATGTTCATACACTGAAAAAAAATTCTCGGCGTTTTTACCAAGGTCCGTTGGTACCTTTACCATCTCACTTTTTTTTTACCTATTATTGGTAATTTTACCAAGACAGACTGGTAAGCTTACCTAAAACCGGTATTTTTACCGTTTTTCCAGGTAAGAATACCACTTTTATTGGTAATCAATTCCCGGTAACTTTGCCATTTTATCTCGGTGATTCTACCACAGTCGATAAAACAATATTGGCGTTTTTACCAAGGTCCAGTCAAATTACCGAGAAAGTTCAATAATTTTACCGAGATTTCTCGGTAAAATTACCGATTCCATAAATGGTAATTTTACCAAGAAAAAACTGGGATCAAATAGAACCCTGAATTCTTGGTAATTTTACCCTTTTCCTAGTAAATACACCGAGATTTTTTTTTCAGTGTGATTTTTCAGTCGCTAGGGCAAGTAGCGATGGATCACTCTGCCGTGCTAAGGAAGAACGCCGTATGAACATTCGAGAGTTGCCAAATTTCTTTCGATTAAATGTTTATTTTGTAGGAAAGTTATGAAAATTTTGCTTCGAAAGGTTTAGGAGCTTTAGGTGACATTGATAACAAAATTATCTGAAAAATTGGAAGAAAACTGTTCATAAGTTTCCAGGAAATTCGATGTTTTAGCTAATGAAATTTGGCAACGCCTGAAGGTTCATACGGCGCCTTTCCTTAGCACGGCATCACTAGACAAGGTACGAAGTTAAGCATTCTGATAATGTTTCTTAACCAAAATTGAACGTAAAACACGATTCGCACGACGAAAATTACTAAATTGATTCCTAATCAACATATTTAATGTTTCTTGACGCGTGAATTCAAACCTTCCGCTCATGAAAACCCAATGGTGTACGTACGTCAGGTCGCGAACAGTGGCGTGGCGTGCTTTGCGATATATCGATTGATTCGCCACTCAAACCTATGAAAAAATATCGATTATCAGGGTGTTTGCAGCGAACACCTTAGTAATCGATTCTTTACCATAGCTTCAAATGGCGAGATATCGATAATCGATCCTTCACGCCACGCCACTAATCGCAAACTAAACGTTACGAAAATATGGCAATCTCATCTTGGCACTTTGGCTCAGCTATAGCAAATTGTTTTCACTTTGAACAATAAAGGGTGGGAAATGTACAATATTTGATTGAGAAGCCTACCAAAACCGTAGTGGTGCGAGATTTGACGCACGTAGAGTATTGTGTTTCTTGTGACCGGGCAATTCAAATTCTCCGTAACCAATGTAAAATGAAAACTTTAGTATCTTAGGAATTGAGTTCAGTAATTTGTTATGCATAAACTTTGTTCTTCGAGAAATTCTAGTTAAGAAATATGTGTCAGAATGCTTAAATTCGCACCTTGTCCAGTGGTCTTTAACGGACAAATCGAGAAACTTCTTTTTTTCTGCTGGTTTATTGGTTTATATTCCGTTAGGACCTACAACCATCTATAGACGGTCTTTAATTGTCCGTAGACATCAAGGGATCGATCCATCCATACTCCAGCCTTCACAAATTTTCTAGGATTTAGTCCGAATAGAATCTGAAATCGCGGTATTTTGAAATTATAGGGCGTTTTTTACGATATTTTATCCGCATCTGACCGAATTTTCTCCATTTTTTCGCAATTTGATCTCTATGTAATCGAAATTTTATCTCAATTTATCACGCTTTTTTGTGCGATTATATCGCAATAAATCGACGTCCAAAAGTCGTGATACATTCTCTTATCCGATCAATTTCGCAATTTATCACAATCAATGCTATTTGGAAGATCGGATGATTTCATTCCATCGGCCCTAGAGATATTATTGGAGGGTCGCTTTTTCAGCCACCACGCAGTCTAGCTCTCCTGAAGTCCTGACAGAAATTCCTACAGGCTGATTATCGAAATTTATAGACAAGGCTGTGCCCAAAGGATCCAAAAAAAATTGAGTGATCCTATTGGTGGAAACGGCAACTGAATTTCTCACGAGCAACGATTTTATTTTTAACTATAATGAAAAAGCAAATCAATACCTTAAATTTAAGTAGATAAAAATGTCACCTAATACGTTCATGAACTAGACTCCTCATGTACTATGACATAAGTGTTTCTTTTTCTGTCGAACTGTACTGCCGCGTTATGCCGAGAAGAGCATTAAATCCAAAAAATAATTTTATGGGAATAAGTCAGAGATCATCATATCCGAGCGGAAACCATAACCTTAAGCTTGGTAAAACTTATCCGAATCATCCAAAGGATTCTTAGAAATTAGTTTGGTGATTGAGAATCAATCAAATTTATCTTTCTAGATAAAAAAAAAAAAAACGTATGTGCTCAGTGTCAAGCGAGACAGCAGTACCGTAATTTGAGCGATTCTACTGATGAAGGATGCGATGTACAAAGGAAGATAGCAATAGACTAGCGATCGCCGACCAACGAAAAATCCTATAGTCTACGTAATAACCACCCATTTCAACCAACAGGATTGCTCCATTTTTTCCATTTGTCTTCTTTATCGATCACTTTGTCTATCGATTTCAATAATCAGCCTGCTGGATGCTTTCTCACAAGATAGCGCAAACTTACTACTATTTCACAACTCTAGTGTTTTACAAATTGGCTTAATTTTTACTGCTCCAGCGGAATCTTACAGTTCGAAATTACATCAATCAAATCTGAAAGAAAACTCAATTTCAAAAAGTTGGTAGTTTCTGCCCTTTCCAGTACAAAAACCGTATAAATTTGTACCTCGTCACCTTCCGGCATAGGTATCACAAGGGTTTTAGTTAACAAATTGGAATATACATAGAAAGACTTTCTACGGTTCGAGGCTTTTCTGGTTTAAAATTATAATTTCAGCTGTCAAAAGTTGTAATTCTTATTTTTTGGAAAAACATCTGTTGTCAATTGCTTTATTCAAATTTCCTGAGAAAGTGAAGAACACGATTATCCCATACAACATGAGGTCTCAGAACAGGATATCACAAACGCCAAAATGGACTCTCAACTTAAATTTTCTCCCTAGACTGAACCCAAACCAGATGACGAGAGTGATTATGAGCATGTAGACAAAATATCTAGTCTATGTTTGAAACGGCCGCACGCAAAAGAACAGTCGGTGCTGACGACAGAACCTTCTGTCCATAGGCCTTTTGTACTTTCTTTGTCATACTTACAGAACTTCTTGGTTATAAGAACAGAATTTCAGTCGTGAGCACCGAGTACTTTGTCCGCATAACGGAAACTTCTGTAAGTGTTACAAGGGAAGTCCAAGAGCCCTATGAACAGAACTATTTTTTCAGTGCGTGAGTAACTTTTTCGGTTTTACTTTGGTCTTACACTGAAAAAAAAGGTTACCAGGCTATATAGACATACCGTCCGTTCCGGAGAGGCCGAAAATTCCAGGTTCTGGAGCCGTAGCTTCAATTGCTCCGGGTGCCACACCCGAAACTTTCAGCCTCAGAGCCTGGAACAAGGACGGTACGTCTATATAGCCCGTAATTACAGCTTCCACGGCCGGATTTTTTTTTCAGTGCACGGGAATTGGCGCTCAACTTTTTCTGTTTTACACTGATCTTACACTGAAAAAAAAAGGTTACAGGCTATATAAACATACTGTCCGTTCCGGAGAGGCCGAAAATTCCAGGTTCTAGAGCCGTAGCTTCGATTGCTTCGGATGCTACACCCGAAACTTTCGGCCTCAGAGCCTGGAACAGGGACGGTACGTCTATATAGCCCGTAATTACAGCTCCCACGGCCGGATTTTTTTTTCAGTGCACAGGAATTGGCGCTTAATAGGAGCTTATGATACTATAGCCGGGAGGTGATGAACTTTTTCTTTCTTCAGCGGTCACTGAGATCACACTAGGTATCGCACACTTTCCCCTGGGTGAACCCTCCTTCAATCCCTCGGTTAGTCACCATTTCACTGATTCGAGGAACTGTTCACTAATCATATCACACAAAATTGAGAAAAAGGAAACAAGATAATTACTTTTTGTCCGTTAAAAGTCCGAAGGGAAAAAACGACACGAGTCTCGGCCGGGGCACGGATGACGGGAGAGTAAACAAAAAATTTCAAAGGGCCCGGCGCGCCTGATCGGTGGCGGAGTGGAGTTGTTATTTTGAGAGACTGAACTTGCCGCTCGGGAAGGGACACTTCTGCCCACCCTCGGGGCACCCCCCCCCCCCCCCCCGCCCTCGTCTCTAGGAAGCGGCAAGTTCGCCTCGATCCGGACGCCAAAAACAATCGGCGTGATTGAGAGATCAATAATTGGACTGATATCCCACCATTGATGCCTGATTGTGAAAAAAATAAAATTATCGCGAACGTAAAATTGTACGGTCGGGTCCTAGAATGTCATGGCCTATATGTTTTAGGTAAGTATCCATTCCTGAGTCACAAAACTGAACACTGATCTGAGCAGGGCTAGTACCTACCAGTGGCGTGGCGGGCATTCCGATATATCGATGGATGTGCCATTTAAACCTATGGAAAAGGATTGATAATAAAATAGGGTGTTCGCTACGAACACCCTATTATTTACTTAGTTACTTTTGTCACTTTATTTACTTATTTTTCTCGGTCGGAGTCACTCTGAGACATCAGAATATGCAGAAAATATCCTGCTGAACTCATGTGCTCTCAAATTAAAAATAAAATCGCTAAAATTTAAAAACTGAATCTTTCCTTACTTAATTATTTGTCCGGACGACGTTCTGAAGGGTCGGATACCCTCCCTCTTCAGCGAAAATAGTGCGACAGATATATTTTTTTGTACGTATACATATATTTTTGATGTACTCTTGTTTATCTGGATGTCATTCAGAGGTTGATGTGACTTGCAAGTCATTGGAGCATCATAAATGCGTCACAGGTTCGACCCTATTGGTTCGCGCCTGATTTTAACGAGGTACCACATTTTCAAACCAAATATTTAGTCAGTGTAACCCAAAGAGATTTGGTTGATGAAACCCAAATAAAAACTAACCAAAAATTATTAACCGCACGCTTAGGTTATCTCGACCTACCCTGTATTCTACCTTCCATTTTATCGCACACAAAATTTCGGTTATTTTTTCTGACCATGAACTCCTGGGGAGGGTACCTTTCTTGCACGGCTAAGCTGTAAGGCTCACGTAGGACTGGAAACGCTGCAACCCCCCCCCCCCCCCCCCCCCNTGTTAAGACCCGGTAAGGCAAGCCCAGATTACGCCCCTTTCCTATGTAGTTCGGACCGAAACATCCGTTTTTTCCCCGTTAATTGCTAAGATCAACTCAAAACGTAATTTCCAACACTTTATACCGAAAGTCTCTTTTCCATAAACAACACCATTTCCTAGAAAATCTATGAAAAAACCCGTCCATACCAACCTACGTCATCGACAAATTCCAAGATTTCCGAGATACGACCGTCGCCGTTTTTTTCTGTATATGTAGCTTACTCAATACTTGAACAGCCCCTGAGCTGTAAGCAATTAAAGCTTCACCTCAAAAAAAATGATCTTGGCAAAAAAGTTACATTTTTTGCAGTTCTTTGAAAGATGATACGAGTGACAATGTACCTTGTTGATCCTTTATGCTTCCGTTCTTGCACGACACTTTTTTTGCATTTGTTTGTATTTTTTTCTTTTTTGTATTTTTTTCTTATTTGTATTTTTTTTCTTTTTTCTTTTTTTTTCGTTTCTTATTTTTTTCTTTCTTTTCCTTTCTTTTCTTTTTTGCGGTGTGGCAACAAGTCTGAAAATTGACTCGCCGGAACGAGACAGCTCGTGTCCGATTGATTTGAGAGCCACCGTTTGCCAAATCTCAGCAATATAAGTTGATCCGGCGATGAATCAACGATTCACATCGCATTACACACGACGAAATTAGGCTTTGGAGCACGGTGGCACCCCTGCCGAGCCGCAGTAAAAAATCGGAGCGACCGGCTGAAGCGGATCGAAGTAACTCGCGATTTTCTTCGCCCGATCTGAAACGTGGTGCACGGGTGTAAATTTTCCGACGCGGTTGAAAGTTAATCCTGTTTGGCATATGCCATTGATGGATGAAAATAGGCTCAACACAAAACACAAATAGCGTGGACCAAACTGGGATAATTACATCCATTCGTTCACTTTAGAATAAATTAAACCTATTCTCAAAAATAGTGCTTATAAATAGCACATAGCAATAATGACATTAAATGCGAGTTATTTCTATTCCGTTGTTTTAAAATTACCGTTCATTGGAACAGAAATTGTCATATTGTCATCTTCCAGCAAAAGTATCACAAGAGCCATGCAATGTTTCAAAATTTCCCCCGCCATTTTATTTTTGTGCAGAGAAATTGTTGGTTGAATCTGTTTGAAAATTTCACCGAATTTAATGGCAGCACAAAGAAAATTCAGTGAAATTTTGGACAGCTTTTTTGGGCAATGTCTCTATAAAAAATGGCGGTGGAAATTTTTAAACGCCATATGGCCGGAAGGTGACGATACCTCCTATCCAACGATTTCTTAAAGTTTTTTTTTCCCCCTTAAAGTCCAATGTCGGGTAAAATTGACCCGTATTTAAATACATCGACTAGTAGTAATAGTTATTTTTGAAGTATTATCTATATATTTAATATCCTAAGGCCTTTTTTGGCCTCATACAGTTTGTGCTAATTCGATCTCGGAAACTACTGGACCGATTTTGCTCGGATTTGTTTTAAATGAAAGCTCTTAGGATGTAGACGTGCCAACATTCCTTAGTTTTTCGATTTGCGCGACCGACGTTGCAAAATTTACTTCGATTTGATAACGACATGCTTGCGTTTTTGACGTTGGACAGTTTGTGCTAATTCGATCTCGGAAACTACTGGACCGATTTTGCTCGGATTTGTTTTAAATGAAAGCTCTTAGGCTGTAGACGTGCCAACATTCTTTAGTTTTTCGATTTGCGCGACCGACGTTGCAAAATTTATCTCGATTTGATAACGAAATATTTTCGTCTTTGCCGCGGGACGAGTCATATGGTTGGGGGACCTCCCACCCTCTGATTTTCCGTTTCCCTCTCCACGTAAACCCATCCCTACCTGCTCGCAACACGTGTCACCCTTCTACCCTAGCATGGGTCCTACGGCAGTTTCACTCATGTCGGGGGTCGGCTCATGTCTTCTTCCAAGAGAATTGGTGATTTATCTTCACCCTTTCGCACCGTTACATTTTCAAAAAGTGTTCTGATTTTCTTTTCCAGGAGTGTTATTTATTTTTCAAGGTTGTTTCTTTTTCTAAAAGTAGGTAATTTTTAGTTTCCTATTCTTTGTTTTTGAATTTTTCATTTTGCCTCCAGGAAGTCCTCTAAGCACTGGTAGTAGCAAAATTTGGCTCGCGGAGCGAGTAACTGGGGGTCCAGGGGGCTTGCCCCCGGCTAGCGGCGCAAGTGAGCGTAGCGAGCTGAAGCAGCTAGTTATTCTAAAGCTTGAATGTTCGGGCCCTATACCACAGGGCTCGTGTTTTTAGCAAGCCTCGGGTCTATTTGACCCCGCGGATTGGACATTGAAGGGTTAAGCGACACTATGTTTCTTTTCTCATCAGAATTTCGTGTAGAATACAGCGGAGACATTAAAATACATACATACACACATACATATTGGTTGCTTTATAGCACTCCCTCGCGCTCTACGACACATAACTTTCATTGCTTTCTGTCGAACCACAACCCTTGGGGCTTTGAGCACCTTAACATTTCTACTTCAATCTTCTTCCTCCATTCCTCCAACTTCTCATTGGACAGCTTCTGCACCTTCTCCCAGGAAGAATCCAATCAAGGACCTTCCTCGGCATCATGTCTCATGTCACATGTCTCCTGACATTGAAATATCTCAAAAATAATTCAACTCATGCGGGGGAAAATAGCGTTTTGTGTGAGTGCGTGTGTCGATTGAAACTTCTCCCTTATAAAAACATCGAAGCTAACTCGAGTCAAATCGAGCATCAAAAGAATTTTAGTGTTTTGCAACTGAATAATTTTTCCAGTGCGTTAAACCCTCGATTTGACGTTGACGATTTGGCTGCCGTAGTACATCACTTCCATCATTTTTCCGCCATTCCATTGTTTGAAATGGGCCTGTTGCAAACTTTTGCTAGAGCAAAAATAAGAGTTGTTTCCTACAGATAATGCCTCAAAAATCACGATGAGCGCATCGGCAAAGTCTGAAATGCACTCATAACTTCACAATCTGCGTAAGAAATTTGCGTTTTTTTGAGCTTCCCGCTTCAAAAACGATACTACGGCACAGGTGAACATTTTGTTAGAAGAGTCGCTCCATCGTCGGCAATATTCATCATGGCCGACGCTTGCGCAGTTCCGCGCGTATTTCGAGGAGAGTTCAAGGTCAATCAAGGCGGGTGAGGAAAATATGAACGTAAACACGCCGATTGTTATCTGGTCTAATCCTGTTCAGGTGTTATCTCGTCCCATCACAGGTGTTTTGGCGGATTGTCGTCGGCCATGATGAGTATTGCCGACGATGGAACGACTCCTCTAACAAAATGTTCACCTGTGCCGTAGTATCGTTTTTGAAGCGGGAAGCTCAAAACACCGCAAATTTCTAACGCAGATTGTGAAGTTATGAGTGCATTTCAGACTTTGCCGATGCGCTCATCGTGATTTTTGAGGCATTATCTATAAGAAACAACTCTTATTTTTGCTCTAGCAAAAGTTTGCAACAGGCCCATTGATTTGAGTCTTTGGACGTGTCAAAAGCGGCTTGTCCGGGATTTTGGCTCCAAAAGTACACAATAAATCAACACGTAATCTACACACCTCCAGGCAGATTGTTGAAATTGATAGACAAAGCGATCGACAAAGGAGGCATACAGATACAGAGTACAGAGTATGGAGCGATCCTATCGGTAGAGATGGTTGATTCCTATAGGCTGAGGGAGAAAATGATGGACTAACTATGGGGCTTCTTGTGAGTTGCCGTTAGTTAGTCTATTATCTACCTTCCTTGTCCATTACAGCCACCCGCTTCCACCAATAGGATCCCTCCATATATTTTGTGTCCTTTGTCCACAGCTTTGTCAATTTCAAAAATCAGCCCGCTGATGACGTCACAAGGCGGTACATTTTCTCACTTTGGAAAATATTTTTCTACAATATCCCGTATCAGAAAAAATGTAT